TCATGCACCTACACCCAAAGCTCTTCACATCAGGCTGAGGAACTGTCTTGTGGTGGTGGTTTTTCTCTGTAGAACCTTTCCCATTTACATATCGGCTCACATAGATAAACTGCAACAGGGCTCAGTGATTTTCATTACACTAATCATCTCTGTGATTAGTGCCATCAAGTCAATTCTGATTAATGGCAATCCTTTCCGGGGTTTTGGAGACAGAGAGTACTCAGAAGTGGTTTACCATTCCCTTCTTCTGGAGGCTTCGTGGGACTGTGCAGCTTGCCCAAGGCTGCACAGGCTGGCTCTTCTGGGATGCACAGTGGGGAATTGAACTCCCAGTCTCTGGTTCTGCAGCCACATATCTAATTCACTGAGCTATATAGCCAGTTGTCAAAAATTCACCACAATCATGGAAATAGCCATGGGTTCTTTGTGCATATAGTCTCATCATATAGCTCCACAGTATTGACAACCAACCAAAACCTAGTTTTGTCAAAGACATTTCCACTCCATCATGGGCCATATTACTGTTTTGTCTTAGCTTTGCACATATTTAAAATGTTTTTGAGATTACACTTTTCATGCACAAGGCCACACTCTCCTTTCTCAGCTCTGAAGAAGTGAACACAGTAGACCAATTTATTGCCATTGCTTAAGAGTTGCACAAAAGACAGTGAAAGACTCATTGCCTATTAAATTCAGCACACTGTCAAAGTGATCTTTTTTAAGACTAGAAGAAAGATGTTGCCATACCCAGATATCTTCAGGAGCCTCCATAGCTGTTTCCATAGTTCAGTATAAAATCAAAAGCTGGCCCTTTTCTTTTCCAGGCTCCAGAGGAGGGCAGCATTTTCTTTAAATTAAAATAAGTACTTGATCATGATAAGCTGATCTGTACATTTGTGAGCCCCCTGTCTAATATGCATCAGAGTTTCAACATGCAGTCTCATCTCTGGGAGAGGTCACAGGGAGAAAAACACAGCAGCCCTTTCATGCATTTGAACTAGCCTGAAATAACAATCCAGTCTTTGTCTTATGAAAAATAGGGAACACTATTTTTAATTTTAAGAAATTTGACTAGTAAAACTCAAAAAGAACTAGCACTTCTATTGAGGAAACCTATGACTTCAGTGTCTCGTGCTAAAGTATTTTTGATTCAATCCTTGACTACAATTCAGAGAAGAAAGGTCTATAATTAACTTTACTTTTGAATAGCTACCAAAGGTACAAGCTTACAATCTTACCTGCATAGCCCACAGTAGAAAGTTCTGATTCTGTATAGGGTTGCCATGTCAGTAGTATCTATTTATACCTGTGACAAGAGGACGAGCCCTTGTGATTTCACAAAGTTTGAGCATGCAAGAACTGGGATGAGGCCAGGTCTGCTTCTGGGCCAGCTGACTGTATGAATGAGTGAGAGGGGAATCTGTGTAAATGGCACTAGAATCCAGGTAAACCTTGGATACTCCCATTTTATGGCAACCCAGAAGCAGAAGAGTAAAATATGGAAAGCAGCCAAATATGCACAAGAGCCACTGCAGTTGCCCCTGTTGCCTCTTTCCTGGAGATGTAGATAAGCATAATAAGTGCTTGAGCTTGGCCAGCACCCTGAGACCTGACAATCCAACTGTTAAGAAAGCCTCCTTTTTACATTATGTGCCAATGCATCGGCACATGGCATGAAATGGGATAGCATTCTTCCACATTTCTTCCTTTTCTGTTGTTGGATATAGTATCAGGATCTACTACTAACTCTACTGCTTTAGTTTCTCTGTAAACTGCAGGTATTGGCAGCCATCTAATCCAGTTCATTCTCCAACCACAACTCCTAATGGCTTTATTAGGATAATAGCTAATTCAGGAGATTTGCTGCCAAATACCAAGCATGCTTGCAGCAGGTCATGGCGTACCTCAGAGATTTCCAAGATAAAGTTTGAAAACAAAAGCTGTGCTGTAAATTCTAAAGGCATGTTAAAGAACACATGAGTGCACAATGGTTTCATTGTTTAAGCAGCTTCTGGCTGCTTCAGTTTGCAATATCAAATTTAATAGGGTCTGCTGAATATTGGAACAGCTCCATATTCTATATGGTTGGTGTATGACACAAAATCCAGATTCTGAGTTTGGCAGATCTCAAGCCAGTTTTTGAAGGAAGGTAACATGGGGCTTTAAATGGTTTGGAAAATAGTGACTTAACTAAACAATGTGAAAGATGTGTCTTTCACAACAAGAGGCAGAAGGAAAAGCAGGCTTGCTTTACCATTGCTGGTCTTTCTAAGATCCATTTTAATGTATGTATAAAGCATTTACTGTATCATATTAATATAATACAATTTATGTGCACACTTACATGCCATTCCTTTTAAAAAATAAAATACATTGCCATATGCATTCTGGTCCATTTTTTAACAAACAGATTTTTGTTGGTGGAAGTAGTCTTTGCCAAAGTAATTTGAGACCTTCTGCTGTTGCATCATATAATCAAGCAAAAACTGCAGCACTCATTACAGTTACTAATGAGATGATGCTGAAAGTGCCTTCGCTATCATTGTGCCATGTGTTCGGATACCTATACATGTACCAGGTTCATCATATTGTGGGTCTTCATGTTCCCCACAATTGATTATTGTTCTGCATAATGGGTAAGGCAGAATGTGGTGAATCCTTTTCAGCTGTATCTCCATCCCCAAGGTTATTTTGACCCCTGTACCCCATAAAAGAGTAAACAACTTCTTCATAATCAGGGGCCAATATTGCCTCCATCCTTTTGACCCATTGCAAGTTATGAAGCAACCAGACATTTCATGAAAACACATATACACCTCCAGCTGTGTGCCTTGTTCTGCTGGTCCATTGTGCTTCTATATTGCTCTTAGGCATACCATCCTTTTAAGCCCCACCCTACACTAAATGGGGCCATATAAGAAAAAACAACAGGACAACCCTCAGGACAAGCTAGGGCTCCAAATGAGTCCATAAATGGCAAGCATACCTATAGGCAGAATACAGAAGCCGTTCTATGACTTTGACTACTGATAGTCAGATGGTACACCAGAACTGTTCAAGAGGGGATCTAGTGCTGGACTGGTACATTGGCAATAGATTTGCTCCCCTCGTTACTCCATTAGAGAACTGACCCTTAGTCAAACAAAGTGAAGGTAGGCTTGGCCAAAACATTAGATGGTTGCCTTGCAATGTAACAGGAAAGAGGAGCAAAATTACTGATATGGATTTTGTTAGATATTTACCATCTTTTGATATAATCCTTTTATGAGAAGCATGGCTGTTAGAATGAATTGATTTTTTGATAGGGGCTGCTTCCTTAGAAGTCTCCACTGAGTTAACATTGTTGTTCACATGGCAAGCAACCTATGCAGAGAAACAATATACTCTATTTTTATTTGAATACGTTCCTTTGGTAATTACTCTGCAGTGGTCTCTAATGGACATTCAGTACATTGCTACTTAAATGCTCACTTTTTTCGTGACCACCTATTTTCAAGGTTACATCTTCTTGCCCTGAAAAACCTCTAACAGGTAGTTCATTGCTGTTCAAGCCTCCATGTTATGATCACAGCTCTTATTTCCAGGGTACTTCTCATATTTATACCCTTAGTCATTTAATAGTTTGTGTGTGTCTGTTTGTTCTGTACCTTCAAGTTGGAACCAATTTATAGTGACCCTAACAGGGCTTTCAAGATAAGTGAGATAGTGTTTTTACCAGTTCCACTCCCTCACTGAGTTTCCATGTCTGAATGGGGATTTAAACCCTGATCTCCAGAGTCCTGGTTTGTCACTCTATCCATTACACCATACTGGAAAACATTTAATACTTTATTCATATGAAATTTCAAACTTTGACACACACCCCATTATGATTGTGGGAATGTGTCACTTGTAGGTTTTCTTCATTGCTCAATAGTCCAGACTCCAGACTGTCCATTGGAGGACAATAGTCCAGGAAAATCTAAGCTAAATATAACATGTTAGTTTTTGAAGTGCCATGAGCCTTTTGCTGTCTCTTTGCTTCTTTAGCTGCTTGCTAACACAGCTGAGTACCCTCATTAAAATACAGCAGAGCTGCAGCTAGGATGGGGCAACTGGAGCTTTAACCAATGGAACCAAAAATATAGATTACATTAAAAATTTACTGCTAGAAGAACTCAAATTTGCCCATTAGGATTCGCTGCTAGAAGGATATGGATCAGCCCTCTTCTAGCACATATATATCAGTTCCAGCAGTTTCTACTGAGGCAGAAAGAAACACAAAATAGGTGGGCTCAGAATGGAAGCAATATGGCTGTTAGGCACAGATGCTTCTCTCCAAACCTCTGTGCCCTCCTGGCATATACTAGTCTCCAATTCAAGCTTAACCAATATGACAGCAAAGTAGTTACAGCTCTCAACAGATGAGATCAATGTATTTAAATCATCCCAGCTCCTCACCCCAATCATAGCTGACAGATTGGAGCAGTGGAGAATTACGCAAGTGTTGACTTAACAAGCAGCTCTCATTTAGTAGCTATATTCTAATTGAGACTAACAACTGGATTTATTCCCAGATGTTGAAGCTACTAGTGCAAGAAAACTGCATAATAACACATAGAAGTTGTGTTCAATTGTGTAAATTTTGTTACTTTATGTCCTGTTAAAGCTATGCTCTTTTTCCAATGTGCAATTCATAATTCATCACTGATTCTGATAAATGCACAAAAATGCTTAAGTGTAGATAACAGTTTTGCAAGTGACTGGGGAAAAGGACACGGGTCCCTGAAAATTAGATGTATGTACCTTCAAAGAGCAGAGGTATCCTCAGAAAAGGTGATTCTGGACAATGAGAGTGTCTGGAAGGGTTGCCTTGGAGAAGAGCGGGTGGGGAAATCTTCTCTTACTAGCCCACTTACATATGCCACTTACAACCCACACAATATAATTAATAACTCTGTTCCTTATATCCTTATGTACTTAACATTTTCACATGCAGGTTTTTTGCTTTTCTCTCTTAGGAAGCATATGTAATGGCAAGTGTTGACAATCCCCATGTATGCCGGTTACTGGGAATTTGCCTCACATCTACTGTTCAGCTCATCACACAACTTATGCCTTATGGTTGCCTTCTTGACTATGTTAGAGAGCACAAGGACAACATAGGATCCCAGTACCTTCTCAATTGGTGTGTGCAGATTGCAAAGGTAAATGAATACCAAAGTCCATCTAGTATTTTGATGATAACCAGTATTATGAAATTGATTTCACAGTTGCCATATAGAGAAACCAAAGGTAGATGGTATGGGCACAGGGTGGCGTCGCGCCCACCTGGACTGTATATTTAGAGCATCCATACAACAGGCTTAACTGGTTTTGAGAAAATGAGTTTTAAGACATATTTTTAGAACATTGTAGGCTGCTACATGTCTATTTTGCTGTTAGATCAAACCTCACAGTATAAGTTTTACAGTTCCATGGACTGTAAAATCCAACACTAGTTATGTAGAAACCATTTCAAATTGTCTCATTGTTGCTAGCTCAAAAACAGGAAACGAGATCCCAAAGGTGTTCTTCTGCAGAATTCATTTCACTTGGTTCCCAGGTCTTGGAACTAATAATTTTTCTTCAGTCAAAAAGACTTTATCTTTAATTATCTGAAAAGATGCAGATTGTTTTTCAGCACTAAAGTTGCCCCAAGAGGCTGATCATAAATTTCCTAAGAAAAAATGTTGTGTGGGAGTTTTTTTGGATATTGTACAACTACAGGAGGTTTGCAATAAATTGATTCTACAAAGAAGTGGCATCTTGTGTTCATGGATGGTAGGCGGCAACTAATTCTAGCCAAGATTGCTCTCAGAAACCCAACATTTATACAGTTATGTTCTATATGTTTTAAACCTCTCAATGTGTAAATAATTTTGTTTACTTATTTAAATGCACTTATATCCTGTCATTAACCTTGGAGATGGCAGTCAAGGAAGCTAAAGCAATAAAAAGATCAAAAGTATCATTAAAACACATCAGTTTTTTAAAAAAAGTAATGTTTCCCAAAAGTCCCATTCAGCAACAACCTACAGTAGATGCCAAAGGTTGTCTGAATAAATCGTGGAAATAATTAAATGATAATTTAAGTTGTCTCTGTGCTTCCAGAATTAGGCTAAATGTAAATATTTGCAAATACACGCCATTTTAGATGCAATATCAGATAGAATAGACCTCTATTCAGAGCACAGTCTCTCGAGACTGAAGGATGCCTACGATCAGATAGAAATATGTATGTTTTGAATTGTAAGAAAATAACTAAATATAATAAAATTGTAAGCCTTGACTGAGGTGAGGAAGTTACTTCTAATAGGATTTTGTTGTGGTTGGTGACTTAATTTGTTTCAGAATAATAACTCATTAAAGGTTGTTAGTTAACAAAAGCAGCTTTTATTGTGGCCTTTTGCCAGTGCTGGTAATTTGTCTGGCAATATTGGAAGCGCTTAGCACATAGTGGGAGTCCATCTGAAACTGCCTTTAGACAGTGTTTTGATGGTGGAGAAAGAATGATAAAAGAACACATGAGAAACAACATTTTTCTAATGCTTTCTTCATTATCCTGTTAGTGAATACAAAGAGGGGGAAATAGAGAGGAGAGAGAGCCTTGTTGGCTGTGTTTGTGGAGTATGTGTTTTTTTTTCAACTTTTAAAATAAAACTGTTAATGATCATAGCATATCCACAATGAAATAAGACTGTCACAGTGTTTTATGTCTGTGTAAATACTCTGTAATAGTTGTTTGATACCGTAATAATAATGCTATGCAAGTATTCTGGTTATCAAAATATTGCAGATTTTGTTTATTCTATTTGAAGAAAATGTCTTGCTATGCGAATCTTTCCTTAGTTGTGTGCCACCAAGCCAGTTTTGTCTTACGATGACCCTTTTTTCATAAGTAAATTAGATCGTATATAATTTCAATAACTGAAAGTTTCCATGTGTGGTTAGTCACACAGTAAATAGTTAAAAACCTGTGGCACCTGACCTTCATAAATGTCAGAATGATCTTTTCAAAGCATGTTTACATTGTATACTCATGCTCTGCTGACCATACAGCCACATTTCCACTGAAATAAAATTACAAATTTATTAGAAGGAATTAGAAATTACAATTTTATTAGACCTAGCTCTCTTTTCTGTAGGAAATGGCCTAACTTTCTCTGCCATGCTGCCAGGAGTTGGGGATAGTGGAATAAGGTTTTCTAACTGTTCATTGTAAACGTGCTATAGGGAATGAATTATTTAGAGGAACGTCGTCTGGTACATCGTGATTTGGCTGCCAGGAACGTCCTTGTTAAGACTCCTCAGCATGTGAAGATCACTGACTTTGGGCTGTCCAAATTGCTTGGTGCCGAAGAGAAGGAATATCATGCAGAAGGAGGAAAAGTAAGAAAGATAATAGATTATTTCCTATCGATAGTTGTGATAATATGCTGGTATTTTCAATAACCTAACATTTCTGTGAATTTTATAGAGAGAGGACAGGTTAAAGCAGTGATTCTGACATGATCTGTATGGAGTTTGTCAAAATGTGAACTTACCCACACTCCATCCCAGTGGAGGTTGGTGACTCTGATTTCACAGAGTGGTGAATTTACAGTGGGTGTTAGTACACCCTCTATAGAAGGTCCCAAGATGCTGGAGCCTATTGTCAAAATAGGCTCATAACCTTGGATTGCATCTGTAAAGTTTGGGCTAAAACTCAGGATGGCTTCACCATGCCTGCAAAACCAGTCACCAGACTCTGCTGCCCCAGTCACTTCCTTGTATAATTTTGTAGACATTACAAGGAAAATACTCCCTGTGAGTTTTTCTGGACTTGGTCAACTTTAGTGACAGTTTTTGATGCCGTATAGCAAATGCCTGGTGGCACTGTGGCAAGGTGTAATTTATTCAGAGGAGGTAGGAGGTGTGCAGATAAATAAAGATCTAAAGCAGCTCACAGATCTATATGACTACAAATTATGTGCTGTTGTTGGAATACTTCTAAATGTTACCATATGAGAAGGCATAAAGCACTTCCAAACAATCCTTTAAGAAATGTGTTGCTTGTACAGAACAAAAAAACTACTAAAATTTTAGTTGAGTAACAGCACTTGCTTAACTATTACCATGTTGCCCGGTGCTACTAACTCTACCCTAGTAACTATCTGTAACTACACAGGTTATATGTTTTCAATAGAAGCTGATATATATTATAATGATATATGTAATAAATGGAAAATGTTTTACTGATAACAAAGATTATATTTCCTCAATAAGAATTTTAAGAAAATAAACATAATGACTGCTGCTTTGTTACACTTGCAGAAGGCAAAGGGCATAACATTCAGTTACTTCTAGCTGACAATTAACAAATTTCCACTGAAACATTTGGGTACACGTTACCACCCACCCACCCACCCAATTATCCTAGCAGCACTTACTAATTGCCATCTAAAAGCAGCTGAAGATACTGCTGCTGTTTGCCTTCCACATGTGTAACAAAGCAACAGGATGTCAGCCTATAAAAATCACAGGTTGCTTGCTATACTCTCTGGTCATTGGCTATCGCAGCTGGGTTTTGTTTTTGTTTTTGTTTTTCGAAATAATATAAATATGTCCCACTATTGTCTACAGCAGGTCCAAGCAAAATTATTTTACTGGTACATTTAGCCAAATATATTTCAACTCTCTTCTAGGTCCCCATTAAGTGGATGGCTTTGGAGTCTATTCTGCACCGCATTTATACCCACCAAAGTGATGTCTGGAGTTACGGTTTTTCAGAAATAAGTACAGTGGGGTCTTGACTTACGAACTTAATCCGTATTGGAAGGCAGTTCTCAGGTCGAAAAGTTCTTAAGTCAAATCTGCATTTCCCATAGGAATGCATTGAAAACCATTTAATCCGTATCTGCTCTTTTCGTCCATAGAAACGAATGGGAAGCTGCTATTCCGCCTTCTGCCACTAGAGGGGGATATTTTTTCTTTTTTCCTTTTAACCTAAGATGACTTAGCTTTAAAAAAAAGGAAAGAGTTCGTAACTTGAATCTAAGTTCATAAGTCGAGTCCATATATTCCTATGAGAGCGGTTCGTAAGTCGAAACGTTCGTATGTCGAGCCGTTCGTAAGTCGAGACCCCACTGTACTGTAGTGATTCTAAATTGGCAATTGAACTTTTTTTTAGCGTTCGTGAAGTTTGTAACAATAGCTTGAGTACCAAATGAACTGTTTATAATTATTATAAATGCAGTAAACATTACACTCCACTGAGCAAAATTTTTCTTTGGAGGGTTTGGAAAGAGGGACAATACTATGGATCTCAGATTCTTTTAATAATGTTGTGCTTTAGTTCCAAAAAGATACATCAAAACAAGGCTGGTTGCCCAATCTGATAAAGGTTTGTGCAGGTTGATAGCTCTGTAAATAAGGAGCCTAATTTTATTTAAATGTAAAAGTTATTATATAAAATGCTATGGTAGTGTATCTTTTAAATAATTTTAAATCCTTTAAATCTCAAATGTAGAAAGTTATTGTTATGTAATCTGGTTGATGATTGTCACAGCTTTGTCACTGAGCACTTTGAGTCTGATGGCCATCGGCTATTCGTATAGGCCAGACACAAATTAGACATCTTTGTGAAAACTAGACAAGTCCATTTGTCCAAACTACATGGGACAGAAATGTTCATAACATATATCACAGAATAAGCCACACTAATGTTAGAATATTACCCAGTGCAATATAGTGGATAGAGTGACAGACTAGAACTCAGGAGGCCTGGGTTTGAATCACCACTCAGTCATGGAAACTCACTGGAGGTGCAGAACTAGTGAAACCTTAGATTTTTATTTATTTATATTTATTTATTTAAAATACTTTACCTCACCTTTCTCCTAAAAAGGACCAAGGTGGCTTACATAGTTAAAAGACAATATTAAAGCTAACAACAGTAAGTATATAAATACTTAAAAGGATCAGACAAATACCATACAAAAATACATAAGCAACACCAAAACACATTTAAAGCAATAAGGTAAAACAATTCATTTTAAAACCCCACTCAGAGAGCCAGTGACTTAGGGAAAACCTGACTGAAGAGAAAGGCCTTTGCCTGCTTACAGAAGGACAGTAAAGAAAGGGTTAGCCTATCTTCCTATGAGAGGGAGTTCCAAAGTCTGGGAGCAACAGTAGAGAAGTCCCTCTCCCATGTACCCATCCAATGCAGCTGTGAAGGTAGTGAGACCAAGAGAAAGGGCCTCTATCTTAACATTCAAGCAGGCTCATAAAAGGGGATGCAGTCCTTGAGATAGCTTGGGCCCAAGCTGTTTAAGGCTTTATGGGTGAAAACTAGCACTTTGAATTCTGCCTGGAAACAGATCAGCAGCCTGGAGCTACTGTAACAGGGGGATTATGTGATCCATGTCACCAGTCCCAGTCAACAGTCTGGCTGCTGCATTTTGGACTAGCTGAACTTTATTGACACTTCTCATCAGCAGCCCCATATAGGGCATGTGCCGTTCACCTTTGTGGCACCTGCGTGTTTGGCCCTCACAAAGGCTCATGTCGCGTTTTCCTCTCGCTGCCACTAGTGGATTACCTCAATCCACAATATAAATGACGTTTGTCTGGACACTTGTGAATTCAAACAGAACTTATTTATAGAAGTGAATCAGATTTAATAACAGAAGTTCTTCAGATAATCATTGTACACAAGCAAATTGTTAACAGTACTCTCAGCACGTACTTTTCTCTTACGATATCATTGCCACCTTCTCTACCTATTTTCTTAACCAGTCTTATCACTCTGTATCTGTTCCCTCTCTCTCTGTGACTAACCAAACTCTCCCTCGGACTCCCTGATTCTGATTCAGGCTCTGCCTTTTAACATCTCTTTTTGGCTCCACCTCTCAAACACATTAGCATAGAACCTGAATGATACATGGATTATTTTGCATAACAAAGGGTGAACGCTACAGGGCATATTACAGTAATCCAACTGGGATGTAACTAAGGTGGTCACTGTGGTCAGATCAGACCCCTCCAGGAATGGGTACAGCTGGTAAACTAGTTTTAATTGTGGAAATATATCTCACCTTGAAAGCCCTGTTAGGTTCCACCTTGACACCACAAGAACTACAATGTTTGAAAATCCAAGGAAAGGAAAAAGTGACAAGTATAATATGGCACATCTGCATCTGTTTTCATTAGCTTAATGACTTGCTCCCCTTACACCTTGCTTGCATAGTCAAAGGACTTTGGTGGACTATCATGTTCTCACAAGTCCCATCTTCTGCTTCTTTCTGCTCCATGTATCTATTTTGTTTCATTCACATAATGTAGCAAATAATGTATGTACTGTAGTTACTTCTCTGTTTAATGGTCTGCTGGGCAAACAGGCATCTGATAGTGCATCTAGAAGAGCCCTCATCAAAAATTGCCAGCCACCCAAAGTTTCCAGAGGCCTGCAAGCTTACAGCTGAACTTCGGCCCAATATGCACAGCTACTAACTTCAAGTCAGTGACTATCGAAGTTTTACTGTGTATATTTCCTCCAAACCCTTAAGTATGACAGGGAAGTAGTTTAGTGAGCTTAAAAGGCCACACCTTTTTCATTGGGTACTCTCACCTTTTGTCAGTTGCTTGACACATATGTAGATTTGTGTTAATTGTTCCAACCAAGATAGTATGAGAACTTTTGCATTTAATTCCTAACAGTTCCCTTTAAGGTCTGTCTACTAGTACAAATCAAATCTGTTTATTCTAACTTCTTGAGTTACACACATAAACCATATTAGTAGGAACAAGACGAAAGAGGAGGACAGTCTGCATGCACCCATCCAAAATGTTTCCTAGTTGTGTTTAGCTCACTAAACCAACAACAACAAAAACTACATATTTACAAATGGTGTAGTTTATTGTTTTAACTTCATAAGGATTAATTAAAACTATGCACTCAGTAGAACCTTTGTAAAGTTTATTTTCATTTAATTATGTATGTGCTTAACAAGACAAGGAAACATTTTCAATGGGTGCATTCAGAATACTCTCTTTTTAATTAATAATGCCTCAACTCCATGAAGCCTGTTTCTCCACCAGACTAGCAAGTTGCTTTGCACAGTGGCTGTTTAGTTTTAATGGAGGAATCTGTTAACATTCTTTCCAACTCTGCATTTCAGGTGTCACAGTTTGGGAATTAATGACTTTTGGATCAAAACCATATGATGGCATTCCAGCCAGTGAGATTTCCTCTGTCTTGGAAAAGGGAGAGAGGTTGCCTCAGCCTCCTGTTTGTACAATTGATGTCTACATGATTATGGTCAAATGTAAGCCAATTTCTTGTACATGTCACTGTGTTTCATTTAAGTAAGAAGGGAAGTTACAGTATATCTTTTTTTAAATGCCCTACACTTGCTGTTTACCTGGGAATTTGGCAATTCACAAGGCAATTTATTCTGGCTGAGTTCTATTGATATCAATGGGAAGCAAGTAAAACTACTTCAGAATTGGTGAATCATGCCAAAATGTTCTAGAAAAAAATGTATGCACATCTTTTGTTTGTTTATAACCTGGTGAGTAATTCTACATACATATTCTGTTCATTGTCCGGTGAATGTGTAAGATCAAGAACACACAGCAGAGGTACAGAGTTGTAGAGTGATATATTTAGTGTGAAGAATAGCTTATTCATATGCAATCAAATTTTCAAATTAATTTTCTCAAGGATGTTTGGGAAAAGGCAGCAGAGAGTATTTTTCAAGCTCCAAGCCTGTTGCAGGGATACTCTGTTTATAAGCTTCTGTATAAAATCAAAACAGGAAGACTTTTTGTTTATTCTAGGGAGAATGAAAATGGCTTTTTGAAAAAAGAGGGGGATTTGCTTATATGGAGGGATCATGATTGGCCTTCCTTTTCTTTCTTTACCTTTTTCACTCCCAGTGCACCAGAGACCACATGGGATCTCCCAAGAATTACAGCAATGCACCCACAATTCTGCCCCCTCCCTACCCCACAGAACTCCCAGAACAGTGCTGGATCCTGACATAGGATCATTTTGAGCAACATTCTCTTGGGGAAGGGAAGGAGCTGCACCGGCTGCTAAATATCCAAATGCTGTAGGGTTGTTTGGTTTTTTTTTCTTCCTGTGTACTGTATGAAAAATATTCATAAGTAGTCCACTAGATGGCTCTCAAAGACTTAACTCTGAATGGCAGAGGGTTGTGATGGCTATGCATTTTTATCACTGAAACCTCAAACATTATTTGGGAGTTCTGTCAAGTTTAGTAATTGGTTCTTTGTAGAACTATAGCATGGGAAAGGAGACATTAACAGGACTATTAGCCTTTAATAACATTTAATAATGTGCAATTATTTTATCATTTATGATGGACAGCCTTCTTTTTTGTAGATGCATCTCTCCCCCCCCCCAATTGATTTTACTGCCAGCACATATCTTCATGTCATATTGAAATATGAAGCTGGCTTATATCAAATCAGGTCATTTGTTCACCTACCCTGTCTCTTCACCTCTGATCCTAAGAAGGCTGTTTTTAATTATCAGTAGGAGGGATTTCACTTTGGACCATTTGTATGCAGCGTCCTAAATCCAGCTGAACTATAGGAGGAAGCAGTTCCATGGAGGAGAAGAACACTGGTAGAGGAAGTAGTTGTAACAGTTGCCCATGTTGTAGAATTCCTGGGGGATTATACAGTGAGTCCTGGGGATAGAGAAATAATGTTGTTTCTTTTATTTGGTCTTGGAGAAGAGCCCGGCAAGAAGAGGAATAGCTTGTATGCTTGCTTGTTTTGGCTACATACAGAATGTTATTTCTTCATATTACATTTATATAATATAGTACAACTTTACCTCCTGCTGTTTTCTGAAGTGTTAGAGTACACAGTACGAGTTAGAAATAAAAAAAGAGTAATACATATACAATAAAACTGAAATTAACTGTTGTAAATTTGGCTATTCCTGTGTCAGCCTACTCTTGCCTATTCAGGATATTTAGGGAATGGCAATCATACATTCATTTTCCTATGTAAGGAACTGTAATGTGCAGCTAGGCAATAATAATTCTACATAATTTAATACCATGTAGTTTTTATACTTACTGCCTAGGGGGGTTAATATTAAGCACCAGAGGTTGATTTTTGAGTTGGTTTGTTTTCCTTTTACTAAGAAGTGTTCCTGCTTTTGGGGTGTGAATGTAATCCCTACTTTTCATCTTTCATTTTTGCGTTGCCACCTTCAGGTTGGATGATTGATGCAGAGAGTCGCCCCAAATTTCGAGAACTGATAGTAGAATTCTCCAAAATGGCACGAGATCCTCAGCGCTATCTAGTTATACAGGTACTATTTACTCTCCTTAGCAAAATAGTTCAAGTGGAACTATCTAGGAAAAAATCTAGATTAAAATTGTTTGTGTTTGACTTAAGTTGCAATGTTTTCTATTAAAAATGACCACATTCAGACTAAATCTTTTTTAAAAACATCTAAACCTGATAACAAAAATTAAAATGCCTTTATTCTATATTGCATATAATTAAATTAAATCAATCTGTGAAGGGCAGGTAAGTTGAATTGGCTTCTGAAGGTGCCTTGGCCAATTACATCATGGCAAAGGAACACTCTATCAGGTAAGAGAGTTATACAGTGGTGCCCCACATAACGAGCGATTCGTTTAACGATCTTCTCAACCTTGGGTAACCCAGATGTTGCTGGACTGCAATTCCCAGAAGCCTTCACCACCAGCTGAACTGACTGGGGTTTTTGGGAATTGCAGTCCAAGAACACCTTGGTTACCCAAGGCTGGGAACATGACAAAAAAGATGGCAGGTAAGAATGTTTGCTTCACTTGTAGTCAGTTCTCCTGCAAAAAAATGGCCGCCCACAGTGTTTTCACGCCCTTTCCTCGCTTACCGGGCAGTGAAAATGGTGGCCGTATGGAGGATTTCCACGTAACTGTGAGTTTTTTGCCCATAGGAACGCATTAAACGTGTTTTAATGCATTCCTATGGGCTTTTTTGCCCCGTGTAGCGACGAATCCGTATAGCGACGATTTTTTTGGAACGGATTATCATCGCTATGTGGGGCACCACTGTATTTAGAATATAGGAACTGACAACTTAACTGCAAGATAGAATTTGGCTAGGAAGGTGGGTGAAGAGTTTTGAACCTTGATAGGCTTAGTCAAACAGGGTTAACCTCTGTAGTTTCCACAAAATGGGAAAAGGCTAGGGATGCTTTGGATGTGTTATTAAAAACAGATAACCATCTTGATAATGCATGGCTTTTCAATTTGCAGTGCATTGCTTGAAATCCTGTGTGGTGTTCATGTCGATGTATTTCTATATTCTTTATTAATGAAACACATACTATGTCTTTAAACAAATACACCATTAAGATTCATCGCTTCTTGAGTGTTTTGAAAGAAAACATCTCTTCCAGTTCTAGAATCTGCCTCAGTTTACATTCGAATCCAGCACAGAGTGTAAAAGTGGTTTAAAAGAACCTTAGAAAGATTCAGGATCATTACTCTGGCTCAAATATTTCTCTACCAATGTAAATTACTATTACTAGTACCTCTTAAAATGGGAGGATAGCCCCTTACCCCACAGATCTTCCAGGTGAAGCCACAGGCTTGCAGCAGAGAAACATGAAGCAAAACTTTAGTTTTTATTTCAGAAAATATTGGTAATCTCATTATCTCAAGTCATTTCTTCCCAACCTTGGGTAACCCAGATGTTGCTGGACTGCAATTCCCAGAAGCCTTCACCACCAGCTGAACTGACTGGGGTTTTTGGGAACTGCAGTCCAAGAACACCTTGGTTACCCAAGGCTGGGAACATGACAAAAAAGATGGCAGGTAAGAATGTTTGCTTCACTTGTAGTCAGTTCTCCTGCATTGGCAATGCCTGAATAAGGTTTGTATGTAATGGCCTGATCATGCTTGAATGCCCCTTGTCCAAAAATAAGAAGGCGAACAACTTCAGTGGTTCAAGTGACAATTGTCTCTCCCTAGGATCCACTGCACACATACCCATAGCCACACAACTGAATCGTGGTGGCAAACTAAAAAAAACGCAAGAAAACAAGCAAGGAATGGGATAAAAATGGCATTGAGGCCATGCGTTCCCAATTCTGCTCCTGTAATACAGCACCTGACTGCCTCTGAAGAGATGGGATAGGATAATAAAAATCGCTTATTTAAGCTAGAATTGTCATTAGAATGAATTAGGGGTGTCTGCTCAGACAAAGCATCCAAAGGAAAACTATCACAAAGATAAGTGAAATTTCTCAAAAAAAAAACCAAAAACAATCATGGTTGGAAGCAACCATGGAAGAGAACTCTTCTCTTCAGAAGTTCTTCTTTAAGCTTTCTTAGAGGCATTTGATTGTCCTGATATTGGAGTGGGTGAAAATTTTATCCAGCAGGGCTCTTCTTATGTTTTGTTGTGTAGCTATTGCCAATAATACATACCAATGGTATTCTTTATTGGCAGTCTAAATACATAGTGTACAATTTAAGCTATAGGGACAATTTATCAAATAAAGAAGTGTAAAGTCTCTGATCCTTAGTGTGATTTATCTTTGTACAGGGTGATGAAAGAATGCACTTACCAAGCCCAACAGACTCAAAGTTTTACCGGAGCTTGATGGAGGAGGAGGATATGGAAGACATTGTGGATGCAGATGAATACCTTATTCCACATCAAGGATTTTTCAGCAGCCCATCAAATTCTCGGACACCTCTCTTAAATTCACTAGTATGAAACTGCTTTTAAAAACTTATTGGGAACACGAGAACAACTTGAACCTGAACCAAATTTAATAATATCAATTGATTGTTTCAATATTGTTTTTTATATTTGGAACTTTTTTATTTAAGGTTATATCTAATATTATACGGTATTATTTGAAAAGAAAGAGAGAGAGAGAGAGAGAGAGAGAGAGAGAGCAAGCTTTCATAGTAACAAATTCCAAAATTGAAGGCATGCAGAATCATAAGAAACATTAAAAGATTGTCAAACATATTATGGCATTTAGCTTTCCTTGGCCAGATTTTTGCCACAGTAATTGTCAACCTTAATTGCTCACAAATTCTTTTCCACAAAAATATTTAGTATGAAACATACTCTGATAATCCAATATTCTTTCTCTACTAAAATGAAAACAAGGAAACTTCTTTTTCTGTTTCAGAGCACTACCAGCAATAATTCTGCAACTGTAACCTGCATTGATAGAAATGGGGTAAGTATGAACAAATAAGAATCACAGGCAGCAGCTTCTGGACTGTGATGTGGTTCTCTCTGCAGTTAATGTCATCTTTAAAAAATAGCCCACTCCACAGGTCATCCAAAGTCAACTTTGAAATCAGAATGCTCGTGTCCTCCTATCAGAAGATATGTGCTGTTTATTTCCAGTCTTGATCTGTATTTTATCCTAACTAGCAGGGACATCCTGTAAGAGAAGACAGCTTTATCCAACGATACAGTTCAGACCCAACTGGAGTTTTTCTCGATGACAGTTTGGATGATAGTTTTTTACCTGCTCCAGGTATGTACATGGAAACTATTGAGTATTTGAGTTCAACCCCTGACATGTAAAGTGATCCATATGGATGACATCAACTTTGCTTTTCTATATTGGGAAAGTTTTTTTAAAAAAAAACTCCACATGATTTTTACATTTCTCTGAAGATGTTATTTGCTTTATAATTGTCTGGCATTATAATAATAGAAAAGAACTTTTGTCTTAATAGTTCCTGCTAAGGAATAAGAGTAGTTACACTTGTCATTGATCTCCAATAAGACTTGATCACATATTGCTAAGAATGTGTGTAAAAGTCATGCAACTACTAGTAGTGCTAATATTTTATATATTTTATATATTAGCAAACTAACAGTTGTGGCTTCCTTTACTGAGTTAATCTGTCTTGTGTTAGATCTTCCTCTTTGTCTTCTGCTCCACTGCATTTTTCTAAGCAGTATAGTCTATTCTGGTCACTTTTGTATTTCCATTATACGTGCATGGTAGGATACGCTCAAGTTTCTTATATTTGCTTGAGTAAGAGGCTTGACTTAATAGAGCACCCACTTCTCTGCTTTTCTGGCTGTCGTTAGTATCTGTGCCAACACCACATTTTGACTTTTGTCCCTGTCTTTCTTCATATATGTAAATCACATTGACTAGTCTTATAAGTCTCCAGATTGCATGAGGTACTAGTTCCCATTTATTCAGCACTAGTTAGGCATCATCTTCATGGACTTATTGTGTGCATGTTTTCCAAAAGATGTCACTTTGCATTTGAAGTAATAATAAAAATGTAAAGTTTGGCATTAGCAAAGAAGGCCAAAATTATACATAGGCCATACTATGTTAAAGGAAGACAGTGAAGAAAGACAGGGACAAAAGTCATTTGAAATGTGGTGTTGGTACAGATACTAGCAACATTATAAAGCATTAATTCACAAAAGGAGAAGAGCAGCTTTAAAGAAGGAGTAATAGAAATAGTTCCAGTGTTGTGGTGCATCTGGTATGAGCATTGTTAGTATTGAACTGCAACACCTGCAGTCAATCAAATGTCCTCTCTCTACTAGCCCACCAGAACACTTCGATAACCTTCTTGAGTTATGCCTGGTATACTGAAATTGTATTTACAGTGGAACTAAAGTCATGTGTGCAAGTGTATTGATCTTCCTTCCTTCCTTCCAATTGTTTTAGAATATGTGAACCAGCTGATGACCCAAAGACCATCTGCTTCTGTTGTGCAAAATCCAGTCTACAACAGTTTTTCTCTTCCCATTGAGCCAAAGCCTGGGATTGATTCAAACCATCAGAAATCCCACAGCACAGCACTGGACAACCCAGAGTATCTCAACACAAGTCTCTCTCCTTTTCCTAACACAGTTTTTGAAAGGTTTCCCTATTGGGATCAGACAGCCAACCACCAAATAAATCTAGATAATCCAGATTATCAGCATGACTTCTTGCCCAAGGAGACCAAGCTTAATGGCATCTCTAAATCTCCTGCAGTTGAGAATCCAGAATACCTAAGGGTATCAACACCAAAAAGTGAATACATTGAAGCCTCAGCATGACCACTAAAAGAGACTTCTTGTTGTTCGTGCAGCAAGATCAGTAATGCAGGTAACAGAGGTGATTGCTATAGAAACAAATTGGACAGATAAAAGAGCAGTCATGGCAAACAATTTTTTTTGTCTAAGTATGATTTCAACAAGCATGTTTTGGACTTATTTTACATCTGTCCATGCAGAAGACGCAAGGCAGAAGGAAAAAAACATCCAACAAGCAAGTAATCATCACTGTGTTCCCTTTCTTTAAAAGTTAAATAGGATTGTAGCTCCTTGATGCAATCCAGCTGCAACATCCACTTCAAATCTTCCAATGCTATATATTTTATAAAATGTTTCTTGAATTTTAAAGAGATTTTATTACATCAGGAAGACCAGTTGCGTCCCAGTTGATGTCCTGTGGATCATTGGGGGTGGAGTAACCAGTCAAGACACAAGAGGATTTCCTGTATCCTCGGGACAAAATTGAGCAACTTCTGAAGACTTAAGGAAAAAATTGTTTCTATGCATTTGTCCACTTTTTTAAACACCAGCTTTGTTTACTGTTTTGTTGTACCAATGAGGACAATATCACATCTGGAAAAGATGTGGGGATTTTACTTAATCAAGTTTTCTCGGGGGAAATTGAATATGGTGAGGACAATCTGATAAGCCAAAGTCCATTTAGCAGGAAAAACTTGCCTACAGCACTCACTGCCAGCTGACCACTACTGTTTGGAAGCCAGAACTCTGCGAACGTAAGACACTGATCAGGGATCCTTATAAAATGCTCACTAGACTGTCTCTGAAATGCTCACTGTAGGCCTAAATATTGTCGTCGTTATGTATTTGTTCCTCTTTTGTTTTTTGGCTCTACTGTTTTCTCTAGAGTTGTGGAAAATGAATCTTCAGTGTTTAACTAAAAAGATATAAATGCAAAAGATTTATTCCTTGGTGGTTTTTGGACACATTGTGAATCTGAATAGTGAAGAAATGCAAAGATGCAGTTTATCTAAATGATATGAATAATGGGCGTACCTGCACACACATTGACACCAGGATCTGTGAGATTCTTCTGTATGGATGAGCTTGTTCAGCTCCCTGCTATCTCAAGGGGCTTTGTTCAGGAAAGCTTCCTTTCTATCTGTAATTCATTAGGGAAAGTTAAAATGCAATTATTTGCATCTAATTACCAAAACTAATCCCCCAGCACATTGCTCCTTGAACAATTTCTGGCCAGTCCATTGAGACACATACATTACATGCATATGCATACGTAACGTGCAATTCCAGGTCAGTCCTATGAATGTCTATTCAGAAACAAGCTCTGCTGGCATGTGTGAATCATGCCTTTCTCTTCTCCCCCCCCTTCATAATTGTGTATAGGATTCAAATAACAGTCTTGTAAATGTGGGAAGTCATTGCCACTGCTGGCAAAAGAGCAACAGCTGAGCTATTGTTAAAGTGTTGCCTTCTCATTGCACATGGAAAATATTCCAAAATGTAGTTGCTCTGAATTAAGCACAACACCCTTACGTTGTCATAATGACAATTTTTCATTGAAGGGGAGAGAGAAATTAACAAAACTGTGTCATCTATCCCATGGTATAGAATATTCTGTTGTTTACCAGATGCAGCATGGTGGCTATATGGTCATTATGCCATGTGTCTTAATAAGAATACTCGACATATGATAATTTATGGAGATTAAATTGCCTTTAATAAAAGGCAGCTATCCTAAAAGTAACCAGTCTCAGAGAGGATCATGATTTATGACCTTCCATAGTTACAGCCTCAAATCACTGCATCTTTTTTGGAACATCATAATACTGCTTCTTGAAAAATGTGCACTGATAATGGCATATCTGCATACTTTTATTACTTCATATTTTTTCTTCATGACACTTCTACTAAAATATTTAATGTGTTCAGTACTACATTTTCAGGTAAATTCACATAAGCTTCGGATGTTATCTAGTTTCAGTGGATGATGTTTGCATGCAAAAATACATTTAAAACTAACTCTATAGGACCATTAGTGATGAGTTTTTGCAGTGGTATTATTATAATGACAGGGCAATCCTTTGCCCATGAATTTTATGGGAAACCTTGAATGCATCTCTATGTGATGAATTTCCTACTACATATGTTTCATCACATTGGGGATTTGGTCCTTAAAAATGTATAAATGAATGAGGAAATTAGAATTGCCCTAAAGGTTGTTAGGTGCCTGATCTTTGGAGTTGCTCTTTTGTGGTAAATGAAAACTGAGGATGCTTTATTTTGCAAGGGCTAAACACCAAGATAGGTTACATACACTGTACACAATTGAGTTTTGCTAAATTATGGCTGTGCTTTTTGACACTAATACAGTTCTGCATTTATTTTTGCAAGAGGTTAAAATATATTCCAATTTGAATTGCAGCAAGAGCACAAAAGGTAGATTCCCATATAAAGAAGTGCCTGTGTACATCATCATGTCTTATAGTACTCTACATCCTGCTGTCTTATGCATAGCTGTGGCTTTCCTAGTCATCTATATTAACATTAGACTAGTATGAGGGCAGCAGTTTTGTTTTTGCAAGTAGCTCCATATGTTGCAGGAGGTAAGCAGCAGAAAAACTTCCTGTAGGACTGTCATGTAATAATCCCTACTTTGGTATCTCACATTATTTCTTACAATGAAAAGGTATGGAAACATTTGGTTGTGTGGTGAAACAGTCCCATGTGTAAAGCTCTTTGCATTTCCTGACAACCATTTCATTTGGGGGATTTAGATGTTTGTACAGGCAATAACACAGAAACTGTTACCTACCTCTTTAATGTCAGTTGTTGTGAACATTGTTCTAATTTTTCTATGATTTCTATTTCTCTGTGAGAAAATATTTTAATTGGGGCAAAGTGAGAATTGTCTTTTTATTCTTGTTAAAATGTTCGGTAAAAATAGAGAACTATATAGAATTCCACTGCCGGGGGTGACACTGCAAAGATGTTGTAATCACAAATGATCATTAATTGTGATCCTTTTTTAATAGAAATCCCATGTTCCTTTATTTTCCCAATAACATTTTACAGTAATTTTTGTTCTTTTGCTCTAGCACCTGAATTTTTAAGTCATTTTAGAAGTAAGAATAAATAAATGAATAAGAATAATAAATATTTGTAAACATACACATCTTAATAATCTTTTTACATAACAATGGGCTGTTAGGACCAAAGATGTTTCTCCTTTTCTTATTTTAAGCACATGAATAAAATACAATTAACCAGCATTTTCAGAGGGTCTCATTATTGGAATATTTTATTTTTTAAAAATCATCAACTGTGAACTGGCATAGGCAGTATGGTACCACTATTAAAACCATGGGTGAATGTCTTCCTAGGACAACATAAGCCATGAAGAGCAAAACCAATTATTACTAAATGAAGAGCAGTTCTTTTTAAAGACTGTCCAATTCACATTTTAGCATTAAGACACGACTTGTCTGCAGATATCCTGGGGCAGTAAACTCACCTTAGGAAGGCCCGTTAGACTGCCAGTGCTCCTATTATTATTTAATTTAATTGTATATTTTTGATTGTAAGGGACATATCTGCACATGCATCATACTCTTTACTTGTAGGTGATCATGGAACAGAGGAAGGCTAATTGCCTTAGAACAAAGGAGTCAACAAAGGATGCCCAAGCCAGCAGAGTCTCAAGGCAATGCCCTGAGAGCTCTTTTTATTGACTTAGCATGAGTTACATAATATGTTGTTAGAATTCAGATAGGATACAAGTTACCTAATTGCAGCTAGGATTAGCTGAAATAACTCTTTGATGCTCTACGTCTAAGCGAAAGGGCAAAATAAGGGGTTACGTGGTGGAGCTGTGGGCTAAACCGCAGAAGCCTGTGCTGCAGGGTCAGTAGACCAGCAGTCGTAAGATCAAATTCATGCGATGGAGTGAGCTCGCGTTGCTTTGTCCCAGCTCCTCGCCAACCTAGCAGTTCAAAAGCATGTAAATGCGAGTAGATAAATAGGTACCACCTCAGTGGGAAGGTAAAACGGCGCTCCCTAGTCATGCTGGCCAGGTGACAACGGAAACTGTCTTCGGACAAGCGCTGGCTCTACGGCTTGAAAAATGGGATGAGCACTGCCCCCTAGAGTCGAACATGACTAGACAAAAACTGTCAAGGGGAACCTTTCCCTTACTGCCTGCTGGCTGCTGCCACTTCCTGCCAGGAGTGTATGCACGTCACTGGAACAGAATGCAGCTACAACCTTTAAGCAGAAGTTTCCCACATTTGCTGCCCATAGACTCGACACATGCACTTTCACGTCTGTGTTAATTTTGGAATTTTCACTCATACAAGTGTATCTATCAGTAGCAATTTCTTTTGAGCAGTACATCAAGTCTGTGAACCCAAAGTAGCATTCCTAGAACATGTGAATTTATCGGAACACCACAAAACATAAGTAGGATCAGGCCAGAGAAAGGTTTCATAATCCTTACTTCATTTTTGTATCGGAGCAATGTATTATATTGCTTCAAAACGTGTATTAATTTTTTATTTTTTTTTTAATTTGAAGAAGACATTTGGCATCAGCAAACATAAAGTAAAAGGGACGTGGTGGTGCTGCGGGTTAAACCGCAGAAGCCTCTCTGCTGCAAGGTCAGAAGACCAAGCAGTCGTAAGATCGAATCCACATGATGGAGTGAGCTCCCGTCACTTGTCCCAGCTCCTGCCAACCTAGCAGTTCTAAAGCATGTAAAAATGGGAGTAGATAAATAGGTACCACATCGGTGGGAAGGTAAAACGGCATCCCCTAGTCACGCTGGCCACATGACCATGGAAACTGTCTTCGGACAAACGCTGGCTCTATGGCTTGGAGACGGGGATGAGCACCGCACCCTGGAGTCGGACATGACTGGACTAAATGTCAAGGGAAACCTTTCCCTTTACCTAAACATAAAGTGCATATGACATTAATCTTTAGTATTTAAATTATAAATGAATGTCGCTACTGTGGGTTTTCTTCATACACAGAAAAGGAGAGTAAAAAAATAAATATTACTATAAGCTATGTACTTTCTTTCTGCCAGCAGAATGAAACTTTCATAACAATTTAAAACAAGTTTCAGTAATCAGGAGAAACATAATTTTTCATCTTGAACTATAAAAAAATCTTGGAATTGATTTAATGTAAACAAAGTGACATCAAAGTTGTGTGCCATTTAGAGAGGGAAAACCAAGAAGCTTCTGCACCCTAATCTATCAAAAGTAATCTGTGTACAAAAGTCCACCAAAATCTCTTCAACTGGCATTCCATTCAACTGACATGTTATTAGTTCTATGTTGTAAATTTTTTTTATGTCCAATATATAAATATTAGTTGTTTGTGTGTACACACACACACATTGTAAATCCTTAGTTAAAGGATTCAAACCATTAAACACAATTCTAGTACAAACCCTATAGAGTTTAGTGGAAATTAAGGTAGAACTAGTGGGAGGCATTTATACAATAGCTTCAGCATTGTACATGTATTGATCTATAGACACACAATTTGTACAAATTAATGACACATTCTAAATGGTTGAATAGTTTTGTAGTGTTGTTAAAAGAAAGAAATGTATGTTAAATGATAAAAAAAGATGTGCATAATTCTTTTCCAAGTTTTCATAATGCTTGGAGGATTACAGTTATTGTAATATAGTGTATTGTGGTGGATAGAGAAAAGGCATTTTGGCTGACTCCTAAGTTGAAACTTCGGAGAAGTACTAGTGGTAAAAGGTCTTTGATTTCTTCTTCTGACACTTGAAAATGTATCAGCATGAACTCATATGCAGAAACTGGGGTAACGATGACTTTTGCTAAATAGAATATTTAGCTGGAAGCACATTCCATCCAAATTAAAACAGCTTTGAAATAAAAAAGAAGAATAGGGCAAGAATAAGTACCAGTACAGCAATGCTTCCAAAGATCTTTTGTCCTGCTATCTTGTCCAGCGCACATCAGTATCCATTCATACTTGTATGTGAAATTCATTGCACCAATTTGAGCAAGTTTCAGCATATGGCATCTGGCATGTAAAGAGATACTTGATGTACCAAGACCTGCTCCCTTCTAATGATGTTCACTGTGCAACAGTTAATCAAGGCTGAGGAAAATAGGTGAATCTAGGAGGTAAAGCTTTCTGAGGCTGGGTGAACTCAGGGAGGCCTATCTCTCAATAGATGTGTATAAGATTGTGACGTGCATTTAAAGGTGTTGAATGATCTGTGGAATTAGGAATTTGAAGAGGAGGGAGCCATTTGTGAGGTTATCTCGGAATCTGATGGCTTCTTGCAAATGCAAATGTGACTGGCTTTTATACCATACCAGGAGCATGTGTTCTCTTTCACTCTACCCAAAGCATCCTGGTGAAGTGCAGAGCATTCAGCAGCTTGCCACTCACAGCACCACATTTCCCAGGATACCTTGGGGAAGGGGAATGTTTATTAATTTAATCTAAATGGGTAGCATAGACATGCCTTGCGGGTGATGTCTTTCCTAACTGGATGGGCTATAAGAGGGCAGATGTGATGACTGAGGAATGCACTGTTTTAAATGTCTATATCTAAGCAATGTAACATAACAGAGAACGCATAAATTGATCCATGAAATGTAGGTGTTGTCTTGGTGAGTCCTAGCTATACTGAACCTAAAGAAAAGTCTTTTCTTAAAATACTTTATATGAACTATGTATATAGTATATAGTATTTTGTATTTTTCAATCCAAAATGAGGGTGTGATAAACTACCAAAATTTTCCTTTTATGCAATATACAGTCTAGTCTTATATGTCATATTTTTCAGCAACGACTATTAATGTGTTTTTGAAGCATTTTCATTTTTTTTAATAAAGAGCATTACATAAACTTTGTTCAGCATAAGAGTTATTTGAAATTCAAATCCATAGAGGGGGAACACTGCAGAATGGAGGACTTTTCCAAAGTAATCACAATGTATTACTTATTACCAGACCTATGGTTCACTGACTACTCATATACCCTACAAACTCACCACCATCAGTATTGCAACAAAGTGCCAGATCCGATTTCCATAGGTAAAGGATCTGATTGTGGGCCAGACTAAACAATACGTATAGTAAGAACATTTTAAGAAGCAGGAATTCCTCATGTGTTCAAAGATCCTGATTGTCATAGTATGACTTTTTCTAATCTCTTGTAGCTTATAAATTAGCTTGCTTGGATTTTTTATCAGTCAGTGGCAGATAAACAAGAGCTTTGTTTGTAAGTCTGCTCAGGTATGAAGCTGAAAGCTCAAAGGAAATCATACCACTGGAATATTTCCTGCCTGTTCGTTCCTAACAACATGGCAACTATAGCAATTAATTTGAGCCTATCTCATGAGCTGAATATATCACAGAATTATATGATAGTCCTCTTGATGTTCCATTCAGCTGATTTGGATGTGTGGGGACTTCTGCATGATTCCCCGCCAAAGCAAGTCAAATTAGGATTAATTCTAAAATCTTCAAGCAAGACATAAGGATCAACTATGCTAATTCATCATTTGCTAGAAATGCTTCCCTTCTGCTGAAGAAGTAATGGGCAACAAATAGTCACAAACACTCCAAGTGTAATGGTTATAGAAATGGTATTTGGTGTATGTACAACTGTCTTTCAGTTTATTATGCCTGCAGTGCAAGTATGAAATAAACAGCATAAACTTTGTAAGTGAATTGCCTCAACTTAAGAAATAACCATAGACATTGCCAGTTGCATAGCTCAGCACACAAGTGATATTTCTTAACTAAAGGCAATTTGCCTCCGAAATTATACTGTTTAGATTTGTTGTTTAGTCGTTATGTCATGTCTGACTCTTCATAACCCCATGGACCAGAGCACGTCAGGCCCTCCTGTCTTCCACTGCCTCCCGGGGTTGGGTCAAATTCATGTTGGTAGCTTCGTCCCCTTCTCCTCTTGCCTTCACACTTTCCCAACATCAGGATCTTTTTCAGGGAGTCTTCTCTTTTCATGAGATGGCCAAAGTATTGGAGCCTCAGCTTCAGGATCTGTCCTTCCAGTGATCATTCAGGGTTGATTTCCTTCAAAATGGATAGGTTTGTTCTCTTTGCAGTCCAGGGGACTCTCAAGAGTCTCCTCCAGCACCACAATTCAAAAGCATCAGTTCTTCAGCGGTCAGCCTTCTTTGTTTAGATTACATAAACCTAAAATCCTAATAGATTTTTGGCCTATGCTGAACAATTGTACAAATGTCCCA